TGAGCTCATTGCAGAGCCCCGGGGCGATAAGCCTGAGCGTGAACGGTGAGTGAGAAACCCCCACCTCTCTCCTCCTGAGCTCCTTACATAACACATAACCACCCAGCCCCCCAGGGGTACCCAGCAACACACCGTAGGAGTAAGTGTGCGTGTGTGTGTGTGTGTGTGTGTGTGTGTGTGTGTGTGTGTGTGTGTGTGTGTGTGTGTGTGTGTGTGTGTGTGTGTGTGTGTGTACATACATGTGCGCCGCGATCCCCCACCTTTAGTGAAATCCACAGGACTTGAAGTGGGGAGAAATCACGCATGCTGTAAAGCTCCATAAGATACCGCACGAGCCCATGTTTTATTCACATGAATGCATGATGGGATATCTCTGACGGAGCACTTGTCATTAGCTGCTCAATCACAGCGGAACATGTCTGCAAATGCCGAACGCTTACCCCGTTATTTTTCTGTCACACAACATTTTGACACAACATTAACGAGCCTGCGAACATTCAGAGAGTCATTACTATATGAGGAATGTGCCTCCATGTGGAACAGCCCTGACACATTCTATACCATTAACTATGAAATATACACACAACCATTATAAAAGTCACTGTATGAACACAGACGCTCATCTCCCAGCCCGTATATTCACACATAGTGTGTATTTCTAGTGCAGATAATGAATGCAGGCTTGTCACCAAGATAAAATGAGGTTTAATATTCTAGATGGAGAGTCATCTGTTGTTTGGCCTTCCTCATTACTTCCAGGTCTTGAATCCAAATGCTGCGATGGGAAGGGTGGTTTGCCCTCTGTCGTGACTCATTTAAATGCTAAGGATGCTTTTCTCCCTTCATCCCTTTCATTTTGTGCTCATAGCTCATCTCAATTTCTCCAACCCCCTTTTTTCATTTTAATGTGTCATTATTCCCCCCTCTCTTCTTCTCATCTCTTTTCACTTCCATCATTTTTCACCTACCATCCATTTTTTGCCCTCCTTCTCCACCTCTCTCCTCCGCCTCTTTCACACAGCAGCATCTCATCCTCTGTTGTTCCGTCTCCATCCCTCAGTGTTGGTCTGAAAGTAAGAATCACCTCCGTCTCCTTCGCAGTGTACACCCCCCAGGGACTACAAGTGATAAACCACACACTGAAAATAGTCTTCTCCTGTACCACTGTGTGTGAACTGATGAAATTGTAATTGACAAAACTATTCTGCGTTAGTTTAATTAAGCATGTTAATGATACACGCTCTGAGGGCAGCGCATAACCTCCTTCCTGTCAAAACCAATTTCCCCTCAAGCCTGAGGTCGACTAAAGGCCAAATCAAAGTTTGACTGTAGCTTTGGGAAGAAACAGACTTAAAGTGTCCTTTGCAGTCAGCGTCACGGGTATATCAGCAGACTTTTTTCTTAAAAAGTGAAAATTAGCTTCTACGCCAAATGCATTCCTCGGGCTCAGACGTAATCATGGTGGTTTAGCAATTATTCAAGTTTCACTAGCATTCACACTGATTTAGAAGGAAATTGTCTATGTAACTGTCTGCTGCTGAACTCATATGAACAGAAAGATGGCGAGGCGGCATAATCTGACGTGTTTCTGCTGACACGCTTAAGAGCCAGAGGCCCAGTGGATGCATTGGATTTTGGAGGTACAGGCACTCCAGGATTCATAGAGCAAGACAAATGTGTATACTCAGAGCAGTTTTAGGTCACCTGCACTGCCTGAAAGTGGGACATTAAAACAGGCCACAAGCTCTGGGTCAGTGGGAAAAAAGACTCTGCAAATCTACAGTAGAGCAATGCTGCCTCCAGTGCCAGTCCGACAACCAGGTGCTGACTCGGACACAAGGTCATCTGGAGAAGTATTCGGGATTATTGGCAATCATAAGGGGGAGAAAAAGGAAGGGCTGAAAACCACTCAGTCCCAAATTTGAGATATTAAATCATCCATCAAGTTAATTGAGATTGGTAGCAAACCAAGATGAGATTTCTGAGATCAGTGCAAACTTTGCAGGGCGGGCAGATACATTTTATGTTGGTGACAGCAGATGATGGATAACATTTGTTAATTTCCCTGTCTGCCGTGACACCCAGAAGGGTACTCGAGAATAAAAAAAGTAGGACATGTCTAAAAGTAAAGTTAAAGTGACCAAATAGTACTTCATAAAAATAAAAATCTGCTAAATGCATGTCAAGAAAATGACAGACCATCAGGGATTAACTAGAGGACAGGAGTGAAATGACTTGGCTCGCCAGGGACTCAATGCTTGAGTGAGTTTTGAAAGGTCATCGTTGCTAATGTATCCTGTCTGGAGCTCGTAGTGGTCTATATAAGGCAAAATGTCTGCTCGACTGTTGAAACAAAAAAATGGATGAATCTGCAATTAAACATCCATCCAAAACCTAAATCAAGAGATAGACTGTTCACTTAGCTACTCCCCTTAGTTTCTGTTGCTATGCATTCTGTTGTTTCAGAGTTATGAAGTTCACAATGATATTGTAGGCAGATGTACCACTCAACAATTAAGGAAGTATTTTTTTTAAACAATGCACCCTTGATTTGAAACAGTGGGAAGATCAACTCTGGCTTCTCTTTTCTAGCAAACAACCATTTATATAAAAAGTGTCACTGGCATAATTTATCATCTGCAGCCAGAGGGCAGTTTGAGGAGGGATGCCCCCCCCTTCAAAGTCAAGTCAAAGTCAACTTTAATGTCAATCTTTCAGTTTGTACAGACAGAGATCGAAATAACGTTTCCAACAATCCTGAATACAAAAATACAAATATGTATACAAATATGTATATCCTATATATATATATATACAATCAACAGACACATTTACACATATGCACACATTAAGATAAAACACAACAATCAATATATACAAAATAACAGTCACTTCAATATCTTAGGGAATGTACATAGCAGAGTAAAAAAAAGTGTCTTGTTAGCAAATTGAAAAAAAAAGTATGCCCCTTGTTAACCTGCCCTCTCCATCCTCTGATATCAGGGGGGGGCAGGGGGATGTTTGGTTGAGTATCTAAGTCTGGTCAGCCTGACTCATTGATCATAGCTCTGAAATATCAGCAGTCTAGCTGAGCTGTGTAGAGATAAATCCATGGCGCTGTCCATGATGCTGAATTAGAAGTACGATTTGTAATTGCGACTTTTTATCTAAGTCCTTCCCTTCTGTTCATTTGGGGCCATGGGGCAGTTAGCTAGTCTTTGGTGATTGACATTAACTTAGCTCATTACATTACATTACATTGCATTTAGCTGACGCTTTTATCCAAAGCGACTTACAATAAGTACATTCGACCAGGAAGACACAACCTTGAAGAAAACAGAATCATATAAGTACATCAGGTTTCATAGAGCCAAACATTTCAAGTGCTACTCAACTGGCTTTAGATAAGCCAGTCCTTTATTAGTATGTAAGTGCTTTGTTAATAATTATATCGCTCAAAGTGGAGTCGAAAGAGATGAGTTTTCAGTCTGCGCCGGAAGATGTGCAAGCTATCTGCTCATAACCTACTGGCTTTAAATATCTAGCTTAGCTAAGTAAATGCAGATACCTCCATGAGCAGTGGTGTCAAGCTGATTGAGACTGGGAAGTCTGTGAAAAAACTTTAATTGAACAATGAATTTAAAAGTACATTTCATGTGTTGGTTTGTTTTTGATGGCTCTATACATTAAACTGAGCTTAAAGAATCAAGTTAAAGAGTGTCCCTGACAAAAAAGTATGCTTCCTAACCAGCAGTTGCTTAATTTAGTAGACATTCAAATATAGCATCATTGTTTTTGTAATGCAGACAATGAGCCAAAGAAATGTGCATTTTTCATAGATACAAAATGTTCAATGCTTAGTATAGCAACTACACATAATAAACAAAACAAACATAGATAATAATTCGGAGGTACTGTATGTTACTACTGTAGGTAGTCAAAATAAACATAGTACTTAAATATGTGCATGTTTTCACATTAGACGGCAAAGATACAGATAGAAGTGGCAAGAAAAGAAAAGATCCTTCAAGATGAATGCACATCACAATTGTTGTGAGGGTTTTTTATTGAGCAGTTAGTTATAATTGAAGACAAAATCCAGTCTTGTCTGAAAAAAAAAAAAAAAACTTTCAAATCATATTGTCTTTTTACCTTACCATTACTGAAATACATGTAATCCATATCTTAGTATAACCTATACTGCACGTCTATTGACTGTAGCAGTACGTCTGAATCATATCATCTCACCGGTGGCCCTGGACAGTCGGTGGTGATTCAGTGACTCAGTATGCGGCGGACTACCTCTGCGGGGCCGCTGCCCACATCAGATAAAACACTTAAACAATTACTGTCTTATCTGCTGTGGTGGGAGAGGAGCTTGTGGCCTCATTATGACCAGATTAGAGCGAGAAACAGAGCCCGGTCCCACTCATTCTTCACTGCTGATCGTCAGTCCGCCGGGCCCTCAGGTGACACTAACCACATTACAGTCTTCACACAGACGCACAGAATGACAGTCCAACATACCCGCCTGGGACCCACTTTATTCCATTACAAGTCTCACTCTTTCCTGCTGCTCCAAGTTAGCTATGTTGTGATTTCATCTTCAGGGATTGTCACCGAAACACCACAACAACAACCACAGAATGATATTATACAGTATCAAGGAATAATTCTTATAAGTAACCCATTGTGTTTTAAAGTAGTAATTGTTGCAGCAACTATTAAGGATATCCAAGTTGCAACCATTAAGCTTATTAACCATTACATTTATAATGGAGCCCAGGCAATACTGGATTTTTTAGGTAGATACTGCTATTTAAATGTTGTCGGTCATTGAAACAACTTGTATGATGCCATGTATCTTAGGTATAGAAACACATTTTACAGTGACAGTCAATTTCCCTGGAAATATAGCTGTCAAAAACAATATTAAACAACATTGAATAAACATAATGATTACGTGAGCATAAAATAAAGATATCAGACATATAAACAGATTATTTTTACATCAAATCGTATTTATATAATATAGCCCAATGTCACTAAACACATTTGTCTCCGTAGGCTACAGATCAACAAACATGAATGACAATATACAAATCAATATAGAATATCGTAACATTACAAGATAAAAATGTAAAATACAAATAGAGTAACATTAATTGGTATAAAATACAATAAAAATACAAAAATATGAAATATCATAAAATATAGGACCCTAGGAGGATGTTCGGAGGCTATAGGCTTTATTCAAAAGGAGGCTCCCCCTCCAAACATGTTTTTTTATGTTTGGAGGGATCTTCTATTTCATTAAACAATTAAATTCTAATTTATTTCCGCACTGCAATTATCAGCTGACTTATACGCCGATAACAATATACCAGTCAGTGATTATCTTTAATTATTAGATGTATCTTTCAGGCTCTAAGTCATTATCATGAGTAGTTTGGTAACCCCCCCACCCCCCGCCCCCATTGTGTTGTCATAATGTGAGATATTGTCACTAAGATTTGAATTGCCAAACTTTCTGTAGATAAAAATAGATGGATATGATGGTTGACATTTGAATTAGCCTGTTTGTCTTCTGTTCCACTGTTATAGATGTAACATATGAGTTCCAAACAAATGAACATCGAGAAGACCCACCTCACACTGACAGCAGATTTAGCAAATGTCAAAGATTTCATAAACTGGGTTGATGCTGAATAAGTTAAAGCAAAAATAAAACTGCAGACTATAGCAGGTCTTGTTTTAAAACTATGACTCAAACAATACATTCAAGAGTAAGCGACAACACAATTAAAATGGGAAGACAATATAATGAAAGCAGTGAGAAGTTCTTCAGGAGATGGCTCTGTGTTTTTTCCAGCCCGCTCTCACATCTCATCTCCCTCGCTCTCTTTCATGTGCAGACAATGTGAAAAGACACTCAGAAATTGAACAATAGCATTTGAAAAAATGATGAAATCTTAATTCTTTCTTTGTACTGTCACACACACTATCTCTCTCTCTCTATTTCTGACTTTGTATCTTCCTGGTCCATTTGCCGCCTGCCTCTCTCTCCTCCTCTGTTTGTGTTGCAGGCAGCCAATGCTCTCCATCCTAGCATGCCCTCACATTTGTTCCGGTGTTTCTCCCCCCCGCTCCCAGCACAGGATATGCATTAGAGTCGTCATTGGCTGTCTCAATGTGCTTTGACAGCTGGTGACAGGCCCTGTGGCATTCTTATGTATCTAATCAACAGCCAGTCAGCTTTAGTACAAGGCATGGCAGTAAATCAGCGTTGACCTCACGTAAACTCCTTCACATGATATATGTATGTTACATACCACGGGCCTGACGCTGATATCATGGGCCTCAAATTACTATATGTAAATGTTTTTCTTAAACACGATACAGTACGATATAATTTGTCCCTGTAAGGAAATGTGTCCTGGACTCCTTTCACTGAAGATACAAATCATACATAGAATAATAAAAAGACATCAACATATTATCACACACATATTGACTCGGCATTCACTTAGGACTTTATACAGTAGGTCTTGGTTCAATCGTATCAATGTTCACCTTTGGGTGTTAGAACACAGATGCTTGGTAGCAGTCGATTCCTCTTTACTGATTTGAATCAACAAAGGATACAGTGAAGGAGGTGTGAGGTCTAAAACAAAGAAATATAAAAGTGCAAAAATATAATTAGATTCCAAGCAACAGGTTAATTTAACTTAAATATCTTATTATAATCAATAGAAATAGATTTCCTTTAATCCTGCTACTATATTAATTATTATTTTTAAACCAAATCCACCCAATCGACAGCCTTTCCAACTAAATATATGCATATACTTTACTGACAATGGCGACCTATTGCACAACCCTCATGGCCAACATCTCTATATCTATATAACATCACATGTGAGCTTTAAGCGTGTTAAAAATCGGACAAAGAAGTGACTTTTACTAAATAGCAGATAATAAAATGGAACGGAGTATGTTTTTTTCTGTGGTCAGTCAGTCTAACATGGAGTAAATTGTCTCAACATCTAGAGCAGTGGTTCTCAAATGGGACCCCTAGGGGTACGTTGGAGTACTGCAGGGGGTACATGAGATTTATTTTATGTTAATGAAAAAAAAAAAAAGATACATATACCAATTTTAGGAAAAGTAACGAAGTTTGAGCAGTGTGGGTTTTATATTAATAGACTAGAGTTACACCTATTTCAAAACTCGAAGTGTAATAACTGTCAGAATGACAAAGATCCTCAGTGAAGCACAAGCCCATGTTTCTCACTAAATTGTAAGTACAACTTAAAGATCAGTTCAATGCAACTAATGTCGTCTTAGTGTTATTGCATGATGTTAAAATTGGTTGGCCATGAATTTAGTGATGGATTGTAAACATTTTAAATGTAGCATTTAAGTGTTTCTCAGTTACAAGGTTGTTGTTTTAATAAATCAGACACTGATGGTGCAGCGCTGTGCTGTACCTCTTTATATAGGCATTTTTCCACTAACAAATAGTTTTTGTGCTGATCAGGGGGTACTTGGCAGAATTTTTTTTTCCGAGGGGGTACATGATTGAAAAAAGTTTGAGAATCACTGCTCTAGAGGATAGATTATTATTGTACTTTTTGTTATTTTAGTACCAAAAGAGGTCAACGGTTTTCCTTTTCAAGTGAAATGTCACCAAGATATTTTGATCGTGAACTTTGTAAGTCTACAGATGGAAACCATTTATTTCATACAGTGCATTTGGGTTGAATTCAGTTGTGAAAGAAAACACAAATACTACTTTTTAAAGGATTAAAATATGAACAACTCGAGAATCAACTCAATACTCACATGCCGAACTTGATAAATATGTCCTAATGTTCCTCTCTCTGCTCTTCTGTCCCCCCCCCCCCCCCCTCTCTCTGTGCAGACCATGCTGACTGCCATCTCTATGAGTGCCATCGCTACCAATGGAGTAGTGCCAGGTGGGTGAGCAGACGCTGGCACCACACAGTGATCACTGTTTGTGTCTGTCCGCTTCTAAAATTCTCTTTTCACTGATTGCTTTTGGCACATTACACCCAGCGCAGCTTGATATCCCCCGAAACATTAAAAGCTGTAGTCTGGATCTTGTGCACTTTAACTTTTCCTCACACAACGTTATTTACACAAAATACAACGCGAGCCAAATGCCTGAAATGCAGCACTGGATGTATGTGTTTGACACAATTACACAGCATGGCTATGTTTTATAATTTGAGTTTACAAAGTAATGATGGCCTACGTCTTACCAGTTGGAGTGGATGCAGCAGGGGTCAGAGCAAATTACAGGCTTGTGGGAAAGTATGGAACTGTGTGCCAATTATAACTGTCTCTGTTATAACTGGTGCAAGCCTCATGCCACTGCAAAGTGCTGATTAAGGTCTATTGATTTATGCATAGTTCATTTACTTGCACACTGTTAGGAAATAGAAGCACTGTGAATAAACACAATGATACAAATAAGTCACAGGAGCAGAATAACCTAAATGTTAACTATTGGAGAGCAATATCACAAAAGCAAGGTTGTGTAGTTACACAAATACTTCAGTCTAAAATAAATTAGTATGACAATCAATTAAAGAAATAATTAGTCAAATGTACTTGTGATAGCTTCACAAACTTGCAGTTGCTTTTTCTTTGATATGTATTGAATACTTGTTTGTCGTTTTGTAAATATAACAATTGTCAAACGTCATTACATTAATGCTACTGATGATTTGTTGTCCTTTGAAAAGTTGTGACACTTAAATATCTACTTCAATTCAACTAGTTAATGTGTGTCTCAAAAGTGCATTGCACAAAAATGTAATTCATTGAAATACACAACATTTACAAAGCTCATCACAAATGTATATAGTGAACATTGAGTAATTCATTCAGTTGCACATTAAAAAGTATATTTCATCAACTTGAATCATACACATACCAGTATGTCTGTTAACATTGTTGTGTTTGTGTGCAGCCGGAGGCGCCTACTACATGATATCCCGGTCCTTGGGCCCGGAGTTTGGGGGTGCGGTGGGGATCTGTTTCTATCTGGGGACAACTTTCGCCGGAGCCATGTACATCCTGGGGGCCATCGAGCTCCTCCTGGTGAGAACAATCCTGTTTCCTTCATCAAGACATCTGCTTTATCTTCACAAAGTTAAGAGACACAATTTAAAGATTAAGCCCACCACGTGAAGTAAGTCTAAATAAGGCGTTGTAGATATAAAATGGTGCATTTTCCATCTTAAACATATTCTTAGTGGTTAATAATTGGTTATAGATTTGACAACACTTCCAGGAAAGCTGCCATGTTTTCTCAGATTGGAAATCAGCAGCAATGGCCACTAACAGTGCAGTGAGGTTAATATAAGTGTGTGTAAAGGAGGTCCTCTTTGTACAGCATACTTGAAACGACATCCATTTGATGTTGCCAGACCATAATGAGCAGGAGAGTAAATGATTGGATGCCATTGCCAGCTTGGTGGAATATGACCACTCAAATCACAGTTTTTCCTCCGCTGCAATGAACTCTGCAATTTCATAAATTGACAATTGTATCAGAGCGATATCACTAACATAAGCTTATTTCAGCAGGAAGGTGAAGTCATTAAACATCAAGTACAGGACACCATAATGGACTTTAGGTTAAATCATGTTTGTAATACCTAAAACATTTGGTTTCATGGTCGAAAGCAGGTCCCAGTATAGGACATGCTTCAATGATATGAGGCCAAACAACACCAGCAGTACAGGAATTCAAAAACCAATCAAAGATTTCTCCTGAGAATAAGGTTTTTTCATTTTTCTTTCTTTTCTTTTCTCATGCTTTGTGTCTGTGTGGAGGGAGAGCCTCATAATCTTTCTAAGCAATGGAAGTGGTTTCAATCTATTCATCTAACTCATCTAAAGCTTATAGGTATTGAGCTTTTCCTTTAACGTTTGTCATTACATCCATAGATATATGTTTAAGCATGTATAACAAAATAATTTAAAACTAGAGATATCTGACCAAGTAGAAGAAAGACACAAGATTAGAATTTTAAAGATTTAGATTGTTTTCAAGGGGGTGAAAGTGTTCAATAGGTTGTTATCAAAGTCTAATTGAGCAGAATACAATTCAGTATTTCATACGACTGTAATCCATTACATCCGAATGCAGTGCAGCTCCTGCGGCGGCCACATGCACATATCATTCAAGTGTATTGAGTGTTCTCAATCAAAATGAAACCTAGCAGTGCATCACTATGTGCCACATGCCTAAAAATAGAGCTCCCCTTCAGTGTATTTCCCTCCACAAAAAAGCTTTGAAGCTATTTTTTATCAAGCTGTGTGTTCTTCAACGTGAATTCTGAGCAGTTGATGAAATGCAGGGATCTTTCATCTTGATATTCATCCCTCTCCTCCTCCCCCTCCTCCTCTTCCTCTTCCTCTTCCTCCTCCTCCTCCTCCTCCTCCTCCTCCTCTGCCTTTTTATTCTAACTCCTTCCACTGCAGTCCCCCATGCATGGGCTATTGGGTAATTATGCAAATGCTGCATTAGCGAGCGATCAAGACTCTGGCGGAGAAACAAGACAATTCCTTGAAACAGCTCTCACTTTAGTCGACAGTTATCAACATACCAGAGTGTTCTTTTTTCTTCCGTTATTCTCCTTCTGGATGCCTCCTAATGTATATGCAGAGTTTGATCATGCCTGGAGGTTAATTCTGTCTTCTGGGTCAAAGCTGGCTTAGTTTCCATTGTAAAATAACAATCCCTGCAGAATTGTAAGGAGCGGATCTGGAGAAGACTGATTTGAATATGTTTCATCCTTCCACCCAGGCCAAGAACACAAACTGAGGCTGCTATTTTAGGAAGCATGCACAGTTCACAGTGAAGCAGGAGATTTGTTTGCCTCTGATAACGCTGTTCAGATCACTTTCTCCAGTCAAATGACCAACATGAGCCCTGACTCCCCACTTGTTCTTGTCAATTTTATTTCCTCTTCATGGTGATTCAACCAGATGATTATTAAAACAAAAAAGGGAGAAATTCCCATGCTTATGTAACAGCTTTCTGCATGAATCATCATAAGCTGATGACAGGCTAATTAAGGGTTTTACCGTGTTATATATGATGGCACTATTCTTAGATTGACCCGTAGTAAAATGGCAGTTAATTTTGAATATTAATACCATGCTTGAGTTCTTTAATTAGGCAGAATTAAAAAAAGCAGAGCGGTATTCTGTGTGCTGCTCCGAGCTCCAGGAGAGGACTGTTAATGTGAGCATCACATGTTTTCACACTTCAAAGAGTTGTCCTCCTCACTCACCTCACGCTTTTCTCACCTCTCCTTTATTATATTTCATCTTCTATTTTTTTTTTTTTTACCCAGGCTGAGGTTTATTTAATTCAGCAGTAAACAGCGAGCTAGAGGCTTGTGACCTCAGATCTGCCAGTTTATATCCCCAGACTGGCCGGGGAAAGCGCGAGGAGGGAAAGTGGATGAGTTACACTCCCCAAACAACTAACACCAAGATGCCCTTGAGCAATGATGAGATTGTATGGAACTTTTTTGAGAAAATAGCAGGTGTGATATCACTCGATATTTAGCAGTGATATAGAATTATATTTAGATTTTCTTCACACTGCACATTTCACTTTTATATTTAATTGAATATGTTATTCCTTGCACACTTACTGTAAATAATATCTTACTTTTACATTTTGTTAGCTGTACTTGGCCCTTCATAGCGTTTACTCAACAGATAGTCTACAGATTTCTATCTTTCACTGTGAACATGTATGTATTTTATAGGGATGCACGATAATTATCGGCCCGATAATTATCGGTCCGATATTAGGAATTATGACGTCATCCCGATAAACCCGATACCAGTATTAATAGCCCCGATAATATACAATATATTTTTTGGGTAAAAAAAAAGAAAAAATACTGCGGTGTGGGTGGATTGGGATGAGGGGCGCTTGTTTTTCGTACATTTTTTTGTATTATCGGTTATCGGTATCGGTATCGGTCTTGAGAAGCAGGAAGTTATCGGTATCGGTTTCAAAAAACCAATATCGTGCATCCCTAGTATTTTACTTTTGAGTTCTGTTTTATTTCTATTTTGAGATGTTTCTATTTTATGTTTGTTTATCTCCACATTATGTGCAATGCCTCGGTTTAACATGCCGCTGTGACGAAAAACCGCAGTGACCCATCCTAAAACCCGGATGTAAACTCCTTCCGGTTCCTTCGTCAAAAACGCAATGCAATTTCTCCATAGGATTTTGGAAAATAGCTCGAAATAAGGTCTGTGATTGACACACATTTAAGAGACGGATCACGTTTTGTTCAGCCGGATAATATCCACATGTCTATCCTACTTTTATAATTTTCGAAGCATAAATCTAGTCGCAAGAAGCAAAATGCTAACGTTATGCTATAAAGTAGTGATGTTACGTATTGCGCCGAGGCTTCGGAGCGTGTGTCGAGTAATCCCCGAAGCTTTTTGTGAAGCATGTATCGAGGCTTGTATCGTTTTGGGCCAGTGACGTCATCGATGACAAACGAAGCCTCGCTGCCTGTCGATTCCACGTGACTGCTTCAGAAAGCGATTCAGATCGGTTGAACCGTTGAACCACAACGCTCATAATACCCATGGATGTATAACAAGAACCATATTACCCCTCCTGTACCCGGGCCCGGTGACACGATGGAATCAAGAGAGCTCAGACCCTCACTTATATAGAGGTCGGAACATGTCATAAGTATAAATGAATACAAGCATAAATAAATGTAGGAATAAAAACATCAATAAATACAGGAATACATATCTTGCAGTGTTTTCAGGGAGCTTTAGTGTGTGTGCTGTGGCTCAGCAGGAAAACAGTTGACTCATGACCGCAGGGTCCCTGGTTCAACGACTGGCCAATACGTATTTTTTGTTGTTTATAAAAGCTACAGCTAAATGAGATAATGTAGTTAATAAATGTATTCTTTGATATGATTTAGCCTTTCTCAGGCTACAACGTGGTTAAGTTTATGAATACTCAAGCCTGCATTACAATATAGGCAGGGCCAGTCAGCTGTAGAGAGTTAACTAATTAGAGGGGCGTGGCCCCACAGCTGTGAGAACTCAGCAATCAGGCGTCCATTTTAGGTAGCTCTTTCCTGGAGCGTCAGCTTAAGCGTCAGACAGCCGAAGACTGACAAAGACATTAGAGTCCTGCGGGAGTAAGACTGACAAAGACATTGGAGTCCTGCGGGAGTCACGAGGGAGGCAAAGAGGAGGCAAATCCTACTCTGATTGAAATGGTGTCTTATTTCTCTTTTCTTTAGTTTTCTAGCCCCTCATGCTATAAACATGTGTATTTTCTCCATTCCTGTTCATGTGTCTTCTCGCAATTATCACTGGCCCCGTGTATCTCCTAATCGCTATAACCGGCCTGCTCTCGTCTATCCCACATGCTCCACTGAGATCCAACATCTAGTTTCAGGTGGCCTGTGGAACTGCCAGTCAGCTGTTCCTAAGGCTGACTTCATCTCTGGCTACGCCTCCCTGCAGTCTCTGGATTTCCTTGCTCTCACTGAGACGTGGATTACTCCATTCAACACATCCACCCCAGCAGCTCTCTCCACAGCATATTCCTTCTCCCATACACCCAGACCAACTGGCAGAGGAGGTGGCACTGGTCTCCTGCTCTCTCCCAAATGGAGCTTTTCCCTCTTCAAGCTACCTAACTTCACTCCTTCCACCTTTGAATTCCATGCCGTCACAGTAACCCATCCTATACAATTAACCATTGTTGTTCTCTACCGTCCACCAGGCGCCTTGGGGGACTTCTTGGAGGAATTAGATAGTCTCCTCTCACACATCCCTGAAACTGGCCCTCCCGCTGTACTTCTCGGAGACTTCAACCTCTAGACGGGGAAGATAGACGAACTAACATCTCTGTTAACCGCCTTTGCTTTCTCACTGTCTCCATCCCCACCGACTCATAAAGCTGGCAATGTCCTTGATCTCATATTCACAAGGAACTGCGCTACTTCTAACCTCTCTGTAAACCCGCTCCACACATCAGATCACTTCTTCATTTCATTCTCTCTACCCCTTTCCAAACATAACAAACTAATCTCTTCTCATCCTGCACCTGTCCGCCGTAACCTTCGTTCCCTCTCCCCCTCTACCTTTGTCTCATCGGTGCTCTCAGCCCTCCCTTCCTCGGACTCGTTCCAACTACTACCTCCAAACTCTGCTGCAGAAACTCTCCTCTCTACTCTCTCATCCACTCTGGACTCTCTCTGTCCTCTCACATCTCGGCAGGCTCGTCAGTCCCCTCCTGCTCCCTGGCTAAATGATGCACTGCGTGCTAATAGAACCGTCCTTAGGGCAGCAGAGCGGAAACGGTGGAAATCCAAACACTGTGACGACCTCCTAACCTATCAGGCTCTCCTCTCCTCTTTCTCGGCTTCGATCTCTCAGGCAAAAAGTACTTTCTTTCAAGATAAGATCCAATCTTCCTATTCCAATCCCAAAAAACTATTTTCCATCTTCTCCACCCTCTTGGACCCTCCAAAAGCCCCTCCCCCCCTCCTCACTTCTGTCAAGCGACTTTGTTACCCACTTTGAAAAAAAGGTTGATGATATTTGCTCTTCTTTTTCTGACTCACCTTTACTCACCGCTGGGTCACCAGACCCTCCTTCCACCCACACACTAACCTCCTTTTCCCCTCTCTCTCCAAGTGAGGTTCTTACCCTCATTACCTCTGCCCGCCCTACCACCTGTCCTCTGGACCCCATCCCTTCAAACCTCCTTCAGACTATCGCTCCTGATATTCTACCGTTTCTCACCCATTTCATCAACACTTCTCTAACTTCTGGTCACTTTCCAAACAGTCTCAAGGAGGCAAGAGTAAACCCTCTCCTAAAGAAACCCACTCTCAACCTGTCAGATGTTATAAACTACAGGCCTGTCTCTCTACTCCCGTTCCTGTCTAAATCACTTGAACGCGCTGTCTTTAAACAACTCTCCTGTTATCTCCATCAGAACAACCTTCTGGATCCGCACCAGTCTGGTTTCAAGGCAGGTCACTCAACAGAAACTGCTCTCATTGCTGTCACTGAGGAACTGCACACTGCCAAAACTGCATCCCTCTCCTCTGTCATCATCCTGTTGGACCTGTCTGCTGCATTCGACACGGTGAATCATCAGATCCTCCTTCGCACTCTCCAAGAACTTGGAGTTTCAGGCTCTGCACTTTCCCTCCTCACCTCATACCTCAAAGACCGTACCTACAGGGTGACTTGGAGAGGGTCTGAGTCCGACCCTTGTCAATTAACTACAGGGGTCCCTCAGGGCTCTGTTCTTGGTCCCCTCCTCTTCT